ACTGAATAGATTACTACAAGGCCATCAAGAAAAATCACATCGCTTACTCAAAAAAAAACAAAAAAAACAAAGCTGCTAAAATAAGCTGATTAAACAAAATTAATTGAAACAGCCACATTGTATACAACTGAAATTATATTCATAAACATTTTAAAAAACAAAGCAGTTCACCCAAAAATTTTAATGTACTCACGCTCAACCCATCCAAGATGTAGACACGTTTGTTTCTTCATCAGAACAGACTTGGAGAAATTTAGCATTATATCACTTGCTCATAAATGAATCCAGTGAAAGCAGTGAATGGGTGCCGTCAGGATCTACACAATAAACTACAAGTTATCCACACGACTCCTGTCCACCAATTAACGTCACGTGAAGTGAAAAGCTGTTTTTAAGAAACAAATCCATCATTAAGATGTTTTTAACTTCAAACCGTTAGCTTCCAGCTAAAACACAAGCCCTCTATCTGAAATCTCTAGTAAAAAAGTAATCTTGTCTGAATCAGGAGAGAAACATACAAAGATCAAGCACTGCTGTTTGGACTCTCATTCTGATGGCACCCATTCACTGCAGAGGATCCATTAGTGAGCAAGTGATGTAATGCTACATTTCTCAAACTCATCTACATCCAGGGTGGCCTGAGGGTGAGCTGCTAGTACATTTTAGACCTACTGTATCTAGAGTCTTGTTTGACTCTAAAAGAGCATTGAATTCAGCTAGCAACCATGCTGTCTGTTGTCTAAAGTATGACTAATCCTGCTAGCATGAATCGTATAGTTCTACACTATAGCTCTCAGGATTACTAAAAAGCCATTCTTCATCTGTTTGTAGGAAAACAAATCACTTGACAAGAGGAGGACCTTTGAGTAAGCCAGTGATTCCAGACAGTCATCCAGCTGTTTTATATGTTAATTACTTCCCTTTGAATACAATAAAATGCTATTGAAATTGAGTGCTAGAGATAAATAACAGTGTCAGATAATACACAGACTTATTTGTTTACAATAGTACGGATTTCCATGGACATCTGTTGTTTTTATTTCAACCTAGTTATTGTATTAAATCATAATTATTTTTTTTATTCTCTACCCCTAAACATAACACTCACTCAAGCCCTTCTGCATTTTCACATTTTCATTAAGACATATTTAATTTATGTCAATTTAAGCCATTTAACAAAATTTGGCAACAACAACAAAAAAAATCATAATTTCATAATTTGAAATCAACCATATCAAACACGACAAAATTCTACTGGATATACTAAAATGTTTTTTTTTTCCATAATTTATACTTTATACATAATTTATATTTTTTCATAATTTATACTTTGTGATTCTAATAGAATCAGTTGCAGAACTGGTTACAAATTCCATAGAATTAATTTTGACACGACATTTGTTGTGCCAATATTATTTTATATTTTATATATAACCAATCAATATATTTTGCAATGTGTATCTGTAACTCTGTGTCGGTTGTGACAACTTAACCCACAACCGGCTGAGATGTAACATCGTGTGTTAAAATTATTGCAGTAAATTATGTCATCCCCCATCATCACCTCCATCCATCCAGTCAATACATTTCACGGTCTTGCCTGACAATTGCTTTTTATATTTAGAATTATATATATAATTAATTTTATATTTACGTTATATTAGACATAATTCTACTGTCA